AGAGGCTACAGAACGAAATAACTCGGGTGAACAAAGGAGGAGTGTTCAGCACCAGATAGAATAGGTGCCCTGGAAAATTTCTTCACTTTTACTGCACTAAGGAGCGTTATATCTATTCTTCTTTAGGACATGGACGAAAATATTTGTTACTAATATACCAGTAATTAAGAGGAGTTTTGCAGTGTGTTTTAATCAATACAACTGTCGATTGACATCCTAATTTTAATATTAACATTGGAACTAAATGTCGGCAAGCTCTCAAATTGCCAGCACTCGCCATTGCTTGTCAAGCAACGGATAATTGTCGAATGAGGTTTTATCTAAATTTCACGCAGCTACGTCATATAGTCGAGGAGGCTAGTTTCAAATTAATTTTGAGTTATATCTATCTGGGAAAATTTATCGGCAGAGGAATGCTGATGAGGAGCTATTTACTGCGCTTTATCTCAAGTCGAGGTACTTCCTGGTCTCGAAAAGCGTTCAAACTAGATCGTTCCTTTGATACCAATGCTGACTACAAAATGTCAGATTACGTCAGTTGAAGTAAACGATGTTGAGCAATTTGTTAGAGCAAAAAAGAAAAACAAGTTGCAGTTTTCCTTAGCGGAGCGTAAAAAAGCTTCAGTGGCCCAGAATATGCCCCAGGATTTTCTCAACGCAACCGTCATGACATTTTCTTAAAATCAGGGGAGGTTTGTTTATCTTTTCGCATGAAAAATTACCCTAGGTAATATCAATATTAAAAAGGGTAATCATTTTGAATAAAGGAAAGATAAAATCTCTTTTGAATTTTCGGCTTTTGAATAAACACATGCCTGGCTTTACCAGCTCCAAACTTTCCTCGATTTTCAAAATTTTCTTAAAAACATCATTAGGCCTCAGCTTTCTCTTTTTTAATTTGCAGCCTACCCTCTTCAGCCCCGAAATATCCGCTTTCAAAGAAAAGCCATTTCTTTCGTTCAATTCAATCCCATCTCGGCCTTGCCTATATTTCAAATAGTAACCCTCAATCTAATCTAAGCCTAACCTACTGTTAGCCAGGGCTGAGGCTCTACTTGATAGTAGCCACATAATTTTCTGCAGCTTCTTTGAGAATAGCAGTTTTCCCCTCAATTTCCTCATTCATCACTCAGTCAGCAGTTTTTGCGACCATTTCTGGGCCTAATCGCAAGTGGCAGCTGCGATTCAGAATAGCAGCCAATTATCCATGATTTTCGCGAATAAAGAGTCTTTCTTGTGGGTGGAAGGTGTTTTCACAACTTAGCTCCTTGCAGTACGGCTAAAAAAAGCCTCGGATTTTGCGCAGCTTGACATTTAAGGTGAAAGTAGCTAGAAGTTCTTTTCAGACGAGTTGTCACGAGTGCAAAGTAAGGTCTTCACCTGCTCGTAGCTTAGGTGCATCATGCGTATATCCGGTCGAGCTCTCACTCTCAGCACGTTTTGCTAACATTAGAAAAGCAGTGTTCTACTTTTCTGCCAACAACAACTTTCATCTAAATTAACTCCCATTCCGACCGTCAATAGCGGCATTGTTCGGTTGAGTGAGCACGTTTAGTGAGGTAGCGAGCGCATAATCGACGACTGTGACTCGAGGCATCGATCCTGGAAAGTCGTTTTTGCATTTATTTTTTTGCTGATGAGATTTATTGCTCTAATGTTGTGCTTTTGGGAAATACATGTCATGTAGTAATTCCTTAGCATCTTCTTGGAATCTCTGCATACTCTGGCTGTTTCGAAAAAAAATTAGCTCATCCAGTACCTGGTCCGCGTTTGAGCTACGCTTCAGATCCATACCTGCGACTAGTACAGGCATAGGGAAGAAATTTCACTTGCCCAGCTTCTTTCCTATAGAAGAGCAAACGCTTCGAAATTAGCCGTTACCAGCTTAATCCCACCATATTTCGTAAAGAGACGTAGGTACATGATGGCGCAGTGGATAGCGCTTCTGTTCTGCAGGAACAGGGTCGAGGGTTCGAATCCGTAGTTATGAGATATATTTTGCTCGTAGTAACTGAGTATGTTTTCCTTCCTTACACATTCCACAAAGTTTTTTAATAGCTGTGTACCAATTTTCGACACTTTTTTGATAAGCTCTTACTTACTACTTTACTGATTCACTCTTTGGCTTTTTATTAAATTGCACATGATCTTCTTAGCCCATAAAGCACTATATTTTGAAGGTTTTTCTAAAGCAAAGACTTTTTTTAGCTCATAACTTATTGCAAAACTGCAAACAGAGGATTTTCATGTTGTTTAACCGTTTAACCATATAATCCCGGGCGAGTATATATCCTCGATACTACAGAGACGTCGAGCTTCTCTGATTAGTGGACTTTTTAGGCATCAGAAGAGATAGAATGGGTCTTAAATGGGTTTGAGTGAAGTAAGGATCTTTGCAAACCTGTATTCAGTGGTCAAGGGAATTAAACTATATTTCGAGGACAAATTTCAACATACTAGGCGGTTGGGACAAAGTTCGCGCGCGATGTCGCAAAGCGGCAAAGTCTGCGACGCCGCGTACGTGTCGACAGCATACCAGTATGGTCGCTTTACCATGTAGGACAAAATGACTACTAAGCAGCAAGATATCGTAGGAGACGTCAGGAGCCTGGCCACTTATTGGAACCGAAGGAGAAATAAACTTTAGAAATGCAATCTTAACCTTTGAGGTGCACTAGACGATCCCGCTGTCCCCTCTAGTGTGCTACATATCATTGCGACTGCCTCTCAGCGTTCACTGCTCATTTCAAGAGGGTTTTTGCTCCCACTGGCACCCAAATTGGGCAGCTAATTCTCTGTTTAGCACTTGTGTCGGTCGCAGCCATGCATCTGCCCCTTATCTCATTGATGGATCCTATGGGTAGTAAGCAAAGCTTACTTGTTGGATTTAGCATTCATTTGCTGTTGTTAGAGCTTTCTCTGAACTATTTCACTTTTCCACTTTTCGGTTGCCAGCTGAACTTTGAGATTTAATTCCTAATTTGGGCCTAGGGCATCTGAGGAATCTTCCTAGCTTTAAACCGATTCCAATCTTGCAATTCTAGAAGCGTTTCCTTCTCTGTTTTCCCATTCGAAATGAGCTTCTTTGAGGAAGCA